ATTATCGGGTGATTTGAGTCGAAATTCAAATATCGGTTAGTATGAGTAGGTTTTCTATAGACCAAGGTTTCGAAATTGTTTAAATTTTTCTGAATTTGTATATCGAGAAAAGGAATTTGGTGATTTTGTTCTTTTTCAATAGTGAATTTAATTGTTGGTTCTTTATTATTCAGGTAAGATAAAAATTCATCAAGTTTTTGTTCTCCATGACTGTAAATGGAGAATACGTTATCAATATAACGCCACCAAATTATTGGTTTAAATTTGTAATTATTAATGAAAGTTGATTAAAAATTTTCCATAAATAAATTACTAAAAAATGGGGATAGTGGTGACTACGCAGTTGTTATTGCGAAATAAGAGCACTATTTATCAATCTGTAATAAAAGAAGTGGGAAAATTCTGCCTTTTTTAAACACAAACATTTTTGAGGCGAAATACCCAACAGGCAGTTTGTAAAAAAATATTTTTATTAACGCATTGATATTGCGCAGTTCGACGCGACTTTGATCACATGAAGTCAATCGGTATCAAAACACTTTCAACAACTCAAATTTTTATCTGGCATTTATTGACTGTGTAATTCTGCTTTTCGCCCTGTTTTAAATTGCCTCAAAAACCGCAGTAGGGCTATAAAAATTTCAATTTCTAGTAAGATTTTGTGGATTTTACGCCCCTTTACTAAAGTTGATTTAGGTTTATGAAAATCATTCAAAAACCCGCTGAAGAAAATAAAAGTCCCAAGAACCTCCAACTGGAAGGGTTTCAAATGCTTTGCAACTTTTGCGAAATTTTTAAACTCCCCACATACATATAAAAGGTGCGCCCATTCTGACGCTTCTTAGAGCAGCAACTTTTCATACAGTTTCCCAATCTTCAGAAGTGCTTCGCACGAAATCTCGCATAAATCCAGTGCAAGTTCTGAGGCTCAAAAAAATCTTCTGAGTCTACATTAAGCAAGTCGCTTACCAGCTGTACTGTACGCGTAGCGTTCCAGTTAAATTGATCAGCTCTGAAGCTGGAGTGGTAAGTTCTGAAGTTGAGGCGGATATTTGCGAGCCTGGCGACGTCAGCGGTTTGCTTGCAGCTATTTCATATGTGGGTCTACAAAACTCTCGTGCGTACCTTTATTTTGCCCAAAGAAAACCCGAACTACTCACCGATACCGTAAAATGATCACGCTGGCACTCACGATGGTATAAGCCAAAAGAGTGCCAATCGACATGAATTCAACCAGTTTTTCCAGGTCAAATAGAAGCGCAATGACTGCGGATGCAAATGCCGAAATCACTAAATTCACCTGTGGGATTTGAGTTTTGCTGTTCACATTGCCTGGAATTTGTCTAAATTTTAACGAATCTCTTCAGTCGGTGGCTGGTGTTGAAGACGTACCAAGAAACCCAAAAAGTAGTCCATCAATGGCCATTGAGTACATACATCTGGGAAGGGCAAACAGGGAGCCAAACAGAGTGGTGGTCATTCCACAGATTGCGCCTAAAGACACCATGTATTTCACCCAGGGCAAACCGGCCAAGGAAAACGCATCTGGCAAAGCTGCGCTAGAATAGGTAGAATCAAATTTTATTA